CGATATACCAAAGTTTCGGTATTTTTCCCCACCCCTAACCTTTACACGTGGCGACAGCCGACAGGTGGCCGGCCTCAAATGGCAACACGCGGCGACACGTGTGCGACACGTGGACTAATGGAACCGGGAACCAGTTAATTACATGCTAAAAGGGATGTTTTGCCTCGTATAGATTTAAATATCAACTGCTATTTCAGCTTCACATAATAACAAAGAGACCATCATGAAATTCTTCTTTAACAATCTCTAACCTAATAGTCCCCACCTGAGAGCTAGCTTGTAGAAAAATGCTAAAATGTAGCAACAGATTAATTTTCAACCGCCAATTTTCAGTTTTTGTTTAACATGACCCCCACACCAAACAAAGAGTAAGGAGGCTGCTCCACTATTTAAGTATAAAAGAACAAATATAGTATTTTACCATTCAAGATACTTCAACTTATAGTTATAGTCCCAATGTCCTCATCATTTTATCTTCTCATTTGACTTTCACAGAACCAATGATCCTAGGTGCAAATAGTTTACCAAATGCCCAACAAAGATAAACAAAAACCGGTCATAAAGCTTGAGAAGATGCTTGGGTTGCTTCCTGTAATTTCATGTTATGTGACGCCTAAAAGGTAAGAGAAGGACAAAGATTATCCAACCGCATAGGGCTAGCTCCCCAATGAAAGTCTGAAAGTTCAGGCCAAGCAAACTTAATAAAATGCCCCTGTGGACATATAAAAATTATTGGGCTAGTTGTGATGATTACTGGACCTCTTTAAAATCTACTAGACTGCTCGTGAGGGTTGTTAGTCCTTATAAAAATATTAATATGGTCCATTCGGATAAAATTTAATAATTGAATTAATTTGGGTTATTAAAAATATCCAATTAATTTAATTATAAATTAAATCTTTAAAAGAATGGACCGGTCCTATTAATTTTGAGACCATTATCAAATAGCGGCCCAATATATAAGAGTCATAATCCAATTGATAAAGAAGGCGATGAATCTGGCTAAGAAATCCTTCCATATGCATGGAAAATGGCTATGAACCTTGTTAGAAAAGTTGTCCAGATACATTGCATAAATGCTGTTTTTTCTAGCTATTGAAATGCAAGAAAATAGAGCCCGAAACCCATTTTAATTAAGGCTCATGGGGTATGGACGAATTTCTGCAACCCTAAACCATATTTTCACCCCCTCCACACCTATAAATAGGGGTCTCAGTTGAGAGAAAGGGAGGAGAATTTCCAGTCGAAGAAACGCAGCAGAAAAGCTCTGAAGAACTCCTGAAAGGCTTTGAAGGATTCCGAAACATCAGAAGATATTAAGCCACATTTTTGTCAAGATTCATCTATTCTTGATCAAACAAAGCCAAAAGTTGAAGAACGTTCGAAGATCTGAAGAACGAATCTTGAAAATTCGAAGATCTGAAGAACGGAGCTTTGAAGATTCGAAGATATGAAGAACGAATCTTTGAAGATTTGAAGATATTCATATGCAGATTAAATCAAGATTCAACTGAAGATCAAGCCATATATCCCGGGAAGCCCTTTAACAAAAGATCAAGCCATATAACGGCCCTTTTGTTGAAGATTAAGCAACTTGAAAACCGGAGGCCCTTCAAGTTGAACTCTGCATTCAAGAAGATTTGAAGATATGAAGAACGAAGATTCGAAGATTCGAAGATCTCAAGAACGAAGATTCGAAGATCCGAAGAACGTCGAACTTTTGAAGGATTAAAGATTTAATTTTAAATTAAATTCTTTAATTATATTCATATCAAATTGCAAGTGAAGAATCAAAGGATTCATATTTAGAGATTGTACCTGATAATATTCTCATATATTATTATATGCGATCAATTTTAAGTAAATACTTAAAATTTGTTTCACAGCCCCTTCTCAATCAACCTATAAAAAAAGAATTGAACATAACTTATAAACTAAATGCACAGAATTGAAAACAACATTTGGTTAAGTGTTAAGGATGATCTGTTTTAGTGTTATGGAAGTATTTTGTTGTGGCTGTCAAAACTGACAAACCTATTAAGGCTGACCTGTTTAAACTGCACATGTTAAATTAATTTATGAACACAAAAAAAACTCTACAACATACATAAAATGTGATACATTGTTACAAAAGGAAAATATTGAAAGAATCTTTATTATTTTGCATGGTGATGAATATGTCGAACCATGCCAAATATATACACTTGGAGCATGTGCCGTATACAAACAAGAAACGTACGTACAGGCTAACAACTAGGAGAATAAAAGGCAAGCTATTAAAGGCCTAAGATTCTAAGCATAAATAACTACGTACGTACAAGAATGAAACGCTACAAATAAAATGTTACAATAATTATAATACGTGTAGTAATAACGAAATAATAAATTAATAACCAACACCCCCCCTCAAGATGGAGCATGGGGGTCACAAATGCCCATCTTGGCAAGTAGATGAGAGAACTGTTGAGCGCCAAGTGCTTTAGTTAAGAGATCTGCGGGCTGTTCAGTAGATGGTGTATATGAGGGAGAAATTGTGCCGGCCTGAATATGATCCCGTACAAAGTGACAATCAAGTTCTATGTGTTTGGTGCGTTCATGGTACACAGGATTGGAGGCAATGTGAAGAGCCGCTTGATTGTCACAGTAGAGTCGCACCGGTTTGGAGTGCGTTATACCCAACGACTGAAGTAGGTTGCGCAGCCAGATAAGTTCACAGGTCACCGTGGCCATGGCGCGATATTCCGCCTCTGCGGAAGAGCGTGAGACCGTCGCCTGTTTTTTCGTACGCCAAGATATGGGAGAATCCCCAAGAGAAACAAAATATCCACTTACAGAACGACGTGTGACCGGACATGTTGCCCAATCAGCATCACAATAACCTGTGAGAGAGAGAGTAGAAGTTGAGCGTAACAAAATCCCTTGACCCGGGTGACCTTTCAAGTATTTCAACACACGTAGTACTGCTTCCCAGTGAGCCACCCTTGGACGTTGCATGAATTGAGAAAGGATATGAACGGAGTAGCTAATGTCGGGTCTAGTTAATGTGAGATAAATAAGTTTCCCGACTAGTCTTCTATAGCGCTCCGGATCCGAATAATAGGGTCCATCAACGGACTGTAATCGGTGGTTTTGCACCATCGGAAAAGAAACCGGCTTTGTACCGGTCAACCCTGTTTCAGCCAAAATGTCAAGCACATATTTACGTTGGCATAAAAAAATTCCACTGGAGTTTCGGGCAACTTCAATTCCAAGAAAATATTTCATAACCCCCAAGTCTTTCACTGGGAATGAGGTGGAAAGGTATTTTTTAAATTCCTGGATCAAGTGCTTATCGTTTCCGGTAATAAGTAAGTCATCCACGTAGACTAAGACACACAATATCCGATTTTCTCGCCGCAAGGTAAAGAGTGAATAATCGGCATGTGATTGGGAAAACCCATATGCTCGCAAAGAGGTACTAAGTTTGGAAAACCAGCATCGTGGTGCCTGCCGAAGCCCATAAAGAGAGCGAAGCAAGCGACACACCTTGCCTGAAGAGGAGGCTGAATATCCCGGAGGCAAGTGCATATAAACTTCTTCACGAAGATCCCCATGCAAAAATGCATTGTCGACGTCCATCTGATGTAGTTCCCAATGACAAGTGGCGGCGACCGCTAAAATGGTACGAACCGTCACCATTTTAGCAACGGGGGCAAAAGTCTCGCTATAGTCAATCCCTTGTACCTGTCTGTTACCGCAAATTACAAGTCTTGCCTTGTAACGTTCCACCGAGCCATCGCTTTTATACTTTATTTTATATACCCATTTGCAATATATGGCCTTCTTGCCTCGAGGCAAGTCTTGAATTTTCCACGTACCAGTTTGCTCCAAGGCTTGGATTTCACGTTGCATTGCATCCCGCCATAACGGGTCTCGAACAGCTTCTCCAAAATTAGTTGGCTCTTTATGCAAAGAAATGGCTGCAAGAAAAGCTCGGTGCGGAACCGAAAAGTGATTATATTTTACGTAATGAGATATGGAATAAGGAGTACCTAATTCAGCCGATGAAGCGGAGTGAACAACGGGGGGAGAGTTTACTGTGACGGTGTTCATTTGTACTTCATAATCCCGATGCCATGCTGGAGCTCTACGCTGCCGCTGCCCTCTCTCGTACCGTTCATTATTTGTCAACTGGGAAGTTCCCGAAATTGCGCCAGAATTATCCACTCCAGCCGACGTGGAAGTCAACTCTGCATGTGAGTCCCCTTGTTCGCAATTTCCGTCGTGGTCCTCACCAGTGCTTGGTGTAATTTCCAGTTGACGCGTGCTTGCCTCATGTGGAGCGTCGTGTGCATGGTCATCCACACATGCATGCATGTGTGACTCCAATAATTGCCCCCCTGCAGGTTATCCTTATCCGCAATTGGCTTCTCCAATTTGTAAGGAAAAGAGTTTTCAACAAATCGTACGTCTCGTGATACCAAATGTTTATGATTTTCCAAATCATAAACCTTCCACCCCTTTTGGGAATAAGCATATCCCAGAAAAACGCACCTCACCCCTCGTGGTGCAAATTTATCACCTGTTCTGTCTTTAGCATGAATATAACATAGACATCCAAACACTCTAAGTTGGCTATATGCCGGTGGCTTATTATACAGAAGTTCGTAAGGGCTTTTGTTGTCAAGAATAGGAGAAGGCAATCTGTTGATCAAGTACCCCGCGGCTAACACACATTCACCCCAAAATTCAATTGGTAAATTAGCGTGAAAGCGTAGTGTTCTAGCCATGTCCAAAATGTGCCTATGCTTTCGTTCTACCCTTCCATTTTGCTGTGGAGTATAAACACATGATGTTTGAAATATAATGCCATGGGTCAAAAAATATTCTTGTAAGCACATAAATTCTTTGCCATTATCACTTCTAATAACCTTCACGTTTTTATCAAATTGACGACTAGTCATAGCAATGAACTGTTTAAGAATATTTTTCACCTCACTCTTATCTTGCATCAAATGTACCCAAACAGCTCTAGAAAAATCATCAACTATGGTAAAAAAATATCGAGCTCCACAAGTAGATGAAAAACGATACGGACCCCAAACATCACAATGTATTAGCTCAAACGGTTCGACAGCACGAGCACTACTAATAGAAAAAATATAACGGGTTTGTTTGCCTCGTAAACATGCATCACAGGCTTTATTTTGAACAGATTGCAATACTGTCTTATTTAAACAAGTAACTAAACGGAGAACTTTCAATGACGGATGCCCCAAACGTGAGTGCCACAAATCACCTGAATCATTCCCGGCCACAGCATGAACTTGTGCCCGTTCTAGACTCCGAAAGTAATAAACTCCCCCACGTCGATCCCCCACTCCAATCGGCATCCTCGTAAGTAGGTCCTGTATTACACATAAATCATTAGTAAAAAAAATATCACATTTCCGTTTATCAATCAACTGTGCGAGTGAAATAAGATTGCACTGTAGCCCATGTACTAGCAGTACATCTTTCAAGGTCAGCCGTGTATTCATCCACACATCTCCAACATGTGTAGCATGTGTTATAACCCCATTAGGTAAAGTCACGACCACTGGTTCAATTTCCGTCATCCTCCTTAGTTTACTTCCATCCCCGGTCATATGATACGACGCACCGGAGTCTAAAATCCATTCATTACAAATTTTCATACCTGACAGTTTTTCCTCGCTAGGAGTGTTCTTACAATTTTCCATCATTTTGAGAAGGGTTTGCCACTGCTCATCCGTAAAGCCTGGTTTCTGCAAAGTTGTGTTGCTGCTTCCTTGTGATCCGGTTGTCTCCTCGTTCCGATCTCGTACATGCAGTGCATGACCGCCCGCCATGTGCCCTCGTCCTTGCTCGTGAATGAATGGTCCCAGGCTATGGCTGCTCTGATACCATGTTACAAAAGGAAAATATTGAAAGAATCTTTATTATTTTGCATGGTGATGAATATGTCGAACCATGCCAAATATATACACTTGGAGCATGTGCCGTATACAAACAAGAAACGTACGTACAGGCTAACAACTAGGAGAATAAAAGGCAAGCTATTAAAGGCCTAAGATTCTAAGCATAAATAACTACGTACGTACAAGAATGAAACGCTACAAATAAAATGTTACAATAATTATAATACGTGTAGTAATAACGAAATAATAAATTAATAACCAACATACATAATCTAAAATTGTATATTTGCACGCAACTACATTCAATGATAACTGAATTAAAATTTGAAAATTGCTAAATTTTATAATTAATGACTTAGTTAATTTCCCAAGTTCTACACGGTTGATGTCCAAATTTTCTATTGAATATTAACTTAGTACTCCGCATCACTTTATAATTAGACGATCCTTGTCCCAAGTTTTCTAAGAACTTTTATTCAAAAAAAAGTTTTCTAAGAACTTGGTTAATGTCCTTGCATGACATTTTTCAGTGTTTTCTAACAGCCGCCTTTGTCTCACAGTTCCGTTTAAAAAATCGGTGATTCCTGATCAACCGGAGACTATAGACTTGCCTAGTTAATGACACATACATGGTTTCTATTCAGCCTATAACATACCTAGTTTGACGGACATAGAAATCCAATTTCATCTCGAATTTGGTAATGTTTGGCAGTACCTAGCTACAAGAGGGTTTCAATTCACTATCAATCTTTGTAGATAAACAAATTGAGAGCACATAAATTGATTGATTGTTTACATTAAGTTTTCTACCTTCTTGCAACTAAAGGTTGGAACAAATTGAGAGCACATAAAGATTGATAGACTTTCTGAGGACACCTCGCCCACCCCACCCTTTGTACTTGGAATATGTACCAGGTATTCCACATTATTATTACTATTACTATTACTATTACTATTACTATTACTATTACTATTACTATTACTATTACTATTACTATTACTATTACTATTACTATTACTATTACTATTACTATTACTATTACTATTACTATTACTATTACTATTACTATTACTATTACTATTACTATTACTATTACTATTACTATTACTATTACTATTACTATTACTATTACTATTACTATTACTATTACTATTACTATTACTATTACTATTACTATTACTATTACTATTACTATTACTATTACTATTACTATTACTATTACTATTACTATTACTATTACTATTACTATTACTATTACTATTACTATTACTATTACTATTACTATTACTATTACTATTACTATTACTATTACTATTACTATTACTATTACTATTACTATTACTATTACTATTACTATTACTATTACTATTACTATTACTATTACTATTACTATTACTATTACTATTACTATTACTATTACTATTACTATTACTATTACTATTACTATTACTATTACTATTACTATTACTATTACTATTACTATTACTATTACTATTACTAGGGGTTTTTACCTGGATATTACTAATTTTGAACCATTTACCCAAAAAGTGACCACTTTTAAAAAGGGGCAAAAAAGTGATCAAGAAGGTCATATATGTGCAATTAGAAAACATGATGTAACTGCAAAAATTTTATGTCACTGTATTCGTTTTTTTCTAACTACAGTCACCACCCGTGTCACTGTAGCCACCGCCAGTGTCACTGTAGCCACCACCCATGTCACTGTAGCCACCGCCTGTGTCACTTTAACCACCGCCAATGTCACTTTAGCCACCGCCCATGTCACTGCTACCACCGCCCGTGTCACTATCACTGTCGACCACAGTGAGAAATCATAGTGACACCACAGTCAGCACCGTCGAATTACCTCCACACAAAGCTTCAACCAATGACCACTGCCTAGTCCCCTCCCCATGCCCCCCAGACACGACCCGAGTCAACCCCAGCCCTAGATCAACAGAGTTGTGACAACCATCACCCCAGCTCCAGCCGCCAGCGGCGGTCTCTACCCCAGTTCCGGTCCCCTGCTTTCCCAGTCCTCCCACGGCTTCCAAGCTGCCATGAATAATAAAAAATACCGGCCACCATCTCCACACAAGCTGCCAGACCCCAACTTTAGCACCATCCTTCAGCCCTCGTTAATCACTGCCGCACCACTATAACTGACCGGGGGAACAGCCGCCCTACCCCACAAGCTCAGGTCCCTGTCAAGCCCCATCCCTATCCCCTAGACCCCAGCCCCACTGCAACTGAGTTACGCAGCACCCTAGCCTACAAACCACGCCATAGTTTATGGCACGAATCCAGATTTGGAAGAGCAAAAAAGCAAAAGCCTTCAAATCCAAGCGAAATCTCGATTCTGTGGGAGCGGAGGCGAGGCTACAGAGACGACGTCCCCCAATCGGTCCAGAATCGTAGATTTGGAGTGAGAGGCGTGGAGGCTGACAGAGGCGGCAACGTCAGACGCCGGCAGCGGCGGCGATTTTTTATTTGCTTTGAACAGCGGCGGCGATTAGAAGCTGGAGCCGGTGCGATCTGAAGGCAGCGATAGTGCGATGGCCGAGTGCGGAGCTGCGAAGGACGACTGTAGAGCTGCGGAGCACAGAAGAAAGATCAAACGCGATGGAGAAGAACAGATCCGCTGGGTCACTTCTTTTTTACGGTTACTGGGTCACTTTTTTGAGAAAACTCAAAGTGAGAGTATTTTGGTCCAATGAAACTTGGCGAGTAATATCTACGCCATTCTTTCCTATTACTATTACTATTACTATCACTATCACTATCACTATCACTATCACTATCACTATCACTATCACTATCACTATCACTATCACTATCACTATCACTATCACTATCACTATCACTATCACTATCACTATCACTATCACTATCACTATCACTATCACTATCACTATCACTATCACTATCACTATCACTATCACTATCACTATCACTATCACTATCACTATCACTATCACTATCACTATCACTATCACTATCACTATCACTATCACTATCACTATCACTATCACTATCACTATCACTATCACTATCACTATCACTATCACTATCACTATCACTATCACTATCACTATCACTATCACTATCACTATCACTATCACTATCACTATCACTATCACTATCACTATCACTATCACTATCACTATCACTATCACTATCACTATCACTATCACTATTACTATCATCATCATCAGTATTACTATTACTATTATTATTACTAGTAATATTACTATTACTATTACTATTATTACTATTATTATTTTATTATTATTATTATTACACACACACACACACACATATATATATATATATAAATATATATAAAATGTGCTTGGTAGAATAAATATGCGAGTTGATTCACATATTACCTGTATATGTATTTTTATTAAATTCATCTCTCTAGTCAATGATATTTCTTTAATTAATTAAATGAATTCACTGTTTTTTAATATCATGTAGGTGTTTTTAATTCATGAGAAGACCTGTTGGATAACTTTACTTGAGATGTTACTTCTAATTTATAATGAATCCTTTTTTGTTTATTCCTCTGTCAAGCATGGATAGTTGTTGTGGTTTCTTGAAGCTTTTGCCACATGACATATTCACAATATGTTGCAAGCCTCTTTTACTCGGTGCTGCGAGATTCCCAAACTATTTCAGAAGGTTAAAACTTTTTTAACTCAATAGATTTGGTAGTGGAATAAAAACTACAAACACCTATTTGACAATGTAGCCTCGAGGACATTGATGTAAAAGTTGTTTTTTTAACCCGGTAGGCAAACCACTTAAGTCGGCGGGGTAAATGCCGGGGAACATTTACCAGATTTTATTAATAACAAAATAAAATACAATGGAAAGGGGGACTAGACCAAAACCTTTCCGAAGGAGGCAAACCTCCCAAAGATACATCATACCAGAACAAAAAAACAGCAATTGGGGGGACCAAACCTTACCCAATTGAAAAGAAAATACATTAAATAAGCCATCTAATTGAAGGAATGTTAAATAAATCTAAATTAAATTCAATACGAACTGGACCAGGCAGAAAGTCAACACAAGTCCAAGAAATAAAGCGGGCCGGATGGTAAGCTGCGAGATAATGGGCTGATCTATTACCTTCCCTGAAAGTATGTCTGAAGTAAATCCCTTTCCTAAAACATATCTGTCTGAACTCGATGATTTCATCAGACCTAGCCACGTTGAATCCGCCTGAAAGCAAGCTAAGAGCAATCTCAGCATCAATCTCGACCTGAAATCCTCGATAGCCTTCATCAATTGCCCAACGGGTTGCCCTCATAGCAGCGATGAGTTCCGCTTCCAAGGATGAAGAAGAAGCAGCAATCGGAAATGCACAGGCGCAAACCAACTCTCCTCTTTGATTTCTCAAAATCGCTCCTCCTGAAGCCGTGCCAGGTAGAAAAGCCGCATCTACATTTAACTTTAATCCTCTGTTTGGCTTCATCCAACAAATGGGTTTTAATAGTCTCGATTTAAGCTTAAAGCCAAGAGGAATTAGATGCTCTTCGTATAAGATATTATCAATCTTGCCAAGCTTTTGATTGGACAAACTTAATACCCAATGTTGAGTATAGAGTTTGATTTGCCAGATAGTGTATGAAGTAATAGGAGTCCCTGAACCTGAACCCCAAATAAGATTAGTGTAAACCTTCCAAATGTTCCAACAAATAATACCTGGAAGATTGTGCTTAAACAAGTTAATTAGATTCTTGCTACCAGCTTCTAACCACCAAATTAGAAAAATACTACGAATACAAGCACAATGGCTAGGCATAGGGATGGACATAATCTGCGCAAAATGAGACCAAATATCCTTAGAAAATTCACATTCTAGAAAGATGTGAATAATAGAATCCTCATTATTCCTACAAAGAGGACAAATAGAAGGCTGTATAACCCTCCTAAAATGAACCAATCTGTCAGAAATAGGTAAAACCCCTTTGAGAAGCCTCCATTGAAACAATTTGATCTTTGGTTGTTGCTTTGA